TATATATATATATATATATATATATATATATATATTAATGATTTAACTGTGGTTTTGTTGATATTATATAGTTCGATAACCAATAAAGTAGAAAGATATTTTATAGGCAATAGATTATTGACTTTAAAGTGAATATGTTGATGAAAAAAAAAATTATAGGATGAAACCGCAGTTTAATACCAAACTTTGTTGAGATTTCCTCGAGCCATTTAAATAGTTTGATTTCATATTTTGGATTTTTCTCAAACCATTTGAAACGATCTAATTTAAAAATATGTCGAAAAGTGAAAAAACTGGACTCCCTTATACCGTATAATTTAGCATGGTCTACGAGTTATTGTGTCAAAATAATTTTCGAGACACTTTTACTTTTAAAAACATTTTTAAAGATTCAAAACTATTTTAGAAAAATTTCATTGTTACTTACGGACAGTGGCGGACGCAGAAATTTTGAATTAGTGGGGCACAATCCCGGATAGGAGATTGGGCTGGGCTGTAGCCTAGTCCCCTTCCCAGCTCACTTAATAGTTTTTAGGGCCAAAAAATAATAATAATAAAAATAATAAAAAAATTATGTGCATATTTAATTTTTTAACATGTTAGCCCAGTTTGTTATGTATTAGTCCGACTTGTAATCCGAACTTAGATCTATCCCTGACACAATCAAAATTGCAAAAATGTTGTAAAAACTAAAAATAAAAAATGTTCAATATGCAATAGAATGGTTTAATACGATGCTTGAAAAATAAAAATAAAATGTTTGAAAAAAAATTATCGATATATATGGATAACCAAAACATCTTCGTTCGACTACTCTAGATCATCACTATTGAATTTATACATGAAAAATAAAATTTTATGAAATGAAATGAAGTTACACAACTTTGATCATCAAAGACCACTATCCAATATTTTATTATTTTATTCCCCCAAAGGCCAAATGAAATTTTCTCATTCCAATAAAACACACGGTGACATACTGGCTTCTATGACTTTCTAGTTTATTCACTCACCACTCTCTCTCTCTCTATTCTCTTTGTTTCATCCTTTACCCTCTGTTTCCACTCTCAGTTCTCTCACTTTCTTTTTACATGATAATTACATACACAATACAATACATATATATCTGAACAACAGCCGAATAATTCAATATCTATGTGTTGACTGTCCAAAAATCTTTGCCCAATTCAGTTCTTGAATTATGATATCACCAATCACGGACGGATTCACTATGAGGCTTTTTTTTAAATACATAAACAATACACACAACTAAACACATTTATAATATGTTATGTCGGTGGAAGAGTGTTCATCAACATAAGAAGAAGAAGAAGAAGAAGAATGGGTTTTGATTTTCCAAGGGAAGGAAACTAGGGATGGGTTTCAAATTTTCCATTTGGGCACTGGAGTCTTCTTTTGGGTTTTGCTGAAGAGGACTGAAGGCCCAAAATAAAAAAAAATCAATTTCCGGAAGTTGGTGGGTCACGTGACCCACTAGGACCCACTGTGGGTCCGCCTCTGCTTACAGAATATGTCATGAATGTATAGTAAGGCTGTCACATGTGTCACACTGTTGATGGTGATAAACAAATCCTCGTCTAACTATGATTTTCTCTGCTTAAGCTCACCAGTTTTGATGCTCAAATTTGGAGAAAGAAGAGAAATAGCTATTTGATAGGAAATATTTGAATTGCATGGTTGTCTCTTTGAAGGAGTGGGTATTTATAGATTTTCTTCCAAACTTTGGGATATTTCAATCACTTAAGAAAATGACAAATGGCAGTTCCTTATTGGCTGGCTCATAACCAATTTTATTAAGAATATCACGTTTGTCTTGCTTGCCCATTTGTAGCCCGCTGAATGAGGAAAAAAGTTCACACGAGGGTTGCAAGTCCTTTTTGTTTTCATTTCCCTCGCATATCGCTTTATGCTTCGCAGCAACGATGGGAAGGGTTTGCTATAGTCTGTTTTTTGGTCAAACACCAATAGTACTTGAAATCTAGTTTGATTACTGGGCTTTGTGTTTTTGTGACCTTGCAAACTTATTTGTACTCTCCTTTGTTGGTGAAAGCTGACATGGGGCGTATTGAATGGACTTGTTTAATCTGTCGTTTGCTTGAGGATGTTTGTTTACTTGTTTCGAGATTAATGTCCATGTGCATTATATGCACCTAATGTGCATGTTCACTAAGCACAATTTTATAGTGCATTTTTTTTTTGTTTTTTGCTTTTAATGCAGGTCAAGCATCCATTGACATCTAATGACTACGATTATAAGGAGATTTTGAATGGTCGAGATTTATTGTTGATTCATCCAACGGCCTAAACATTTCGTCTGAACCTATAGATATGCGCCTTCTTACAGTATCCCATCCGTTTTTACTACTTTTGTATCCTTATCTTACTCTGTTGCCATATCATTGTTCGATGGTGGTTCTATTCTCCTTTGTTACCAATGTAATTGAGAAGGATTGAATGATATTTGACTTTCCATGTTATAAAATTATTGTGTTCTGAATGATATATGGGGTTCACACTCCCCTCTTTGTCATCGTTTTCATCATGTTCTTTTTCAACATTGTTATAAAAGGAGTACTTTTCCTTGCTTGGGGTGATAGGGTATTTAATCCTAATGACTTTCGCTTCCCTGTTATCACTTTTTCGATGTTATAGTGGTTATTGAAGATGCTAACTTCATATTAACTGTTTTGCTTGACAGACAATCTCAATATCCATTCCAACATAAAAATTGATTTTAACACTATTTTCAAGTTCTCGAAAATTTTGGGTCCTCTTCCTCCAAAAGACTTAGCTTCTGGGAGTTTCAAGAAAGTATTTTCATGAGGGAGTGATGAATTGTCTAAGCGACATCTTCGAGGGGACTAGTGTTTCATTATCAGGTGTTGCAGGTTCAACTCAAAAGGCATTTGCCTTTGAAGTCTGGGTCTCCATGGCCGTCTAAGGACTCTTCTAAAAGGAGAAA